GCGCGGCGCCCTCGTGCCGCGGCCGGCGGGCCGAGCTGCTCGTGGGCGGCTGCGACGGTCCCGAAATCCTGCCCCCCGGCTCACGCGTGAGCTCGTGCCCCCCGCGGCCCTTGCCCCTGCCGCACCTCGCCTGCCCTCTGTCTCCCCCCCCCCCCACAGGAGGAGGGCGTGCCGTTCATAACCCTGGTGGCGGAGGGGGAGGAGCAGGGCAAGGAGGACCCGGAGCAGTGCATCTTCAACCCGACGCTGCTGCTGGCCGCGCTGGAGGCCTGCGGCGTGGACAACGCGCGGTGAGGCGGTGGCCGGCGGGGCGGGGGGCACGCGGCGGGCCGTCTGGGCGCCGCTCGGGGCGGCTGGGCGCGCTCTGGCGTGCGTGTGGCGGCGCCCGCGCTGGTTGGGGGATCAGTCTGGTTTGTAGGGGGTTCCGTTTGCTTTGTAGCTGACCAGCTCGGTTGTCCACTTTGCCATTTCAGAATCGAGATTGAAGGGGGCAAGGAGGTGCCAGTGCTGGACAATTCAGCCCTGGGGTGGACGCTCAACATACAGCAGGTGCGCCGTAGCTCCCGCGCAGGCGTGCCGGGGCCGCGCCGCTCGCGCCCGGCGCGCCGCCGTCGGCCGCGCCGCGGCGAAGCTCGCTTGCTGCTCCGCCCCCTGCACGTCGTGCCGCCCCTCGGCGCCGGCGAGACCCCGCCGCCGCGAACCCAAACCCCACCCCGCCGCGCCACCCCACCCCACCCCACACCACACCACACCACACCGCCCCCAGTCGGGCGTGCGGGAGGCGCCAATCCAGGGCGCCCCTGCCCCCGATCCCAGCAGCAGCAGCAGCGGGCGCGGCGCCGACGGCGACGCCGAGGGCGAGGAGGAGGAGGAGGGCGATCCCGACAGGGAGCAGCCGCAGCGGCTGGTGCTGATGCCGCAGGAGCCCATCAGCGTGCAGCGGGGAGACGCGTTCATCACGTTCTACCCTGGTGCGTGGTTGCGTGCGCGCGTGTGTGTGTGTGTGGGGGGGCTGGAGTGCAACGTGGCGGGCATTGAGGATGTGCGGAGCGTGGGGAGCGTCGGTGGACGGCGTCAGTGTCGCGTTTGGTGTGGCGAGGATGCGGCCTTGGGTTTGGGGTTTGGGTGGCAGGGGCGACGAGGAGGGGGGCAAACGAGAGGAGGAGGTGAGGCAGGCGGTGTTGTGCCCCCTCGCTAGTGTCGTGCTTGCGCACAGGAAAGGAAGTGTTCGGCACTTCTGAAACACAGACACACACACACACACACACACACACACACACACACACACATACACACACACTCACACGCACACACACACACATGCACACACACTCACGCGCACACGCGCACATACATACACACTTACGTGCTCACGCGCACACGCATCTACTTCTGCTGTGTGCACTCCACCGCCAGGCAACTGGTTCAAGATCACTGCCGGCGTTGACGTGCAGGACGAGAGCCCCATCATTGGTCAGCAGTGGTTCAGCTGGCGGGTGTCCAGGGACTACCACTTCAGGTGTGTGTGTGTGTGTTTGTGTGTGTGTGTGCGTGTGTGTGTGATTTGTGGTGGAGGGAAAAACACAGTGCCACGCCGTGGTGTGGCCCATTGCCACATGATGGCATGTGTGGCACCACGTATGGCGTTTGTGGAGTCCCGTGCCACCTCGGACTTCCAGCCATACGCAACCTTGTTTTCTGCCAGCGCAGCCAGCACATGCAATGCCCGCGCGCGCCCCTTTGGTGCGTGCTGCGGCCTCGGCGGCCGCCAGCCGCCGGCTCCCGCGGGTACGCCGGCCGCCACGGTCCCGCAGACATGCCACCCTAAGCCCCGTGCCCACCTGACTCCACCCCCTCCCTCTCGCGCTGTTCCCCCCTCCATCCACCCCCCAGGTACGAGCTGGCCCCAGCGCGCGGCTGGGTGGCGAGCGTCGACCGCCTGTTTGAGCTGCGCAGCCGCGGCTTCACCAAGTGCGGCGGGGAGAACCTCTTCGTCATCGGCCACGGCGACCGCTGGTGAGCAGACGAGAGCGCGCTGTTAAGCACAGGCCCACACCATTCTGTCGAGACAGGGGGGTGCTGGTCAACACAGGCCCACACCCCTCTGCCGGGACAGAGCCCGCTGCCGCTTGAGGATGACCCCTGCCCCGCCAGCCCGGGCGCCTGGCCGTCCGCAGCAGGTCCGCACCGGCCCCGCGCTTGTCAGCAGCAAAACCGCCGATTCCGACCCCCTGCCACAGTCTTGGCCAGCGTCCCCCTCGCACCGCCCCGCCGACCACGCGGCCGCCCATCCCGCCCGCCCGCCCACCTGCGCCGAGCACCTATCCCCCCGTCCGGCTCACCAACGGACCGACCGACCGACGGATCGACCACCCACCTCGCCATCCGGCTCACCAACGGACAAACTGACAAACCAACCGATTGACCGCCCGCCAGGTGGGACCCGCAGCTCGTGCGCTTCCACGACGACGAGCCGGCCCGCCACCAGCTGGTGCAGCTCATAGGCGCCCTCTCCCTCGCGGGCTTCAATGGCAACAGCGGCCTGCCCGTCGGCCACGTGGTGGCGTTCAACGCGGACCCAGACCTGATGCTCGACTTCACACGCGCTCTGCTGAGCTCCTGCCAGTGAGTGGCGGGCGGGCGTGAAATATGTGTGGGAGCGAGGGGGCGGTGCATGTTGGACCGGCCGGCGGCGCGGCGGGTGGGGGTG